TCTAGCAGTTTATGGCTGTCATTAGATTTTCAGCTTTGTCTCTCTTCGAAATGTATCTTTATTTTTTTATTTTAATCCGAGACAATTACGTAAGAAAACGGTTATGTTTGATCTAAAATACATCATTTTCCTATAGCATTTCAAATTAATCACAGATCATAGTTCTTATATGTGCATATATGAATTTAAAAATACAGCAGTAAAGTGCTTGAAACAGACCATAAATTTGCTTCCTATTTTATTACACGTCTCTGAATCAGGTTGAGAGGACAAGGGCAACTAGGGGCTTGGGGAAGGATTTAACCCTTCCCGAGGCTGGAGAACGAGCCGAACCAGACCAAATTGCCCTCCGGAGCGCTTCGGGGGCGGGTGTGGGCGGGCTGGGTGACACCGAGCTGATGAGTGACCGGGGGTAGATGGGGCTGGCTGCAGCTCTGTGCTCATTTAGCAGATGTCCTCTCTGCGGCGTGGAGGGCTGCGAGGAGCGCCCGCGTGGGGCTGGGGGCCGGGGCAGCCGTGCCCGCTCCGGCTCCGGCTCCGGCGGGATGGCAGGGCAGGAGCGGGCACAATCGGCTTAACCCCTGCGGCGCCGGCCTGAGCCATGCACAGCGCTTCAGGGAGAGCCTGCCCTGTGCCCTCCGTGGGTTCCGCTGGTGCCGGAGCTCTCCCAGGCGGGGCCGGGCCCCACGGGCAGCAGCGAACCCGCGGAGGGGCCCAGAGCGACTTGCCCAAACTTTTGTCCCGCTCCGACAAGGAGCTTCGCCCATTGCTCAGAGCCTCCGGATCAGTCCGGCCTGTGGGCAGGGACGGTGCGATCACAGTTACAAATGATCCTGGAGAGAGTCGGGAGCGCCGGCTCGTTTGTTTTACCCCCCAACAGCCTCCCTCCGCCACCAGCACCACCAAAAAAAAAAAAAAAAAAAAAAAAAAAAAAAAAAAAAAAAAAAAGTGTTAATTGCTTTAAAGAAGTTTCCGAGCACGTGGATAATTTACTTTGACTGCTGAGTTTTAATTAAAAGCAAACTTATTTATGTTTCTGATGTTTATATTACGCGATTTAATTACGTTTAGAGGCAGCGTCGCACTTTTTTCCCCCTTCCACCCTAAATCACATTTTCATTAAAGGTTTTAATAAGAAAACTCACTTGACCACTATTCATTATCTAGTCCCCTCCATGCACACAAGTTCACTTACCCATTCATTTATTCACTTACTCATTCCAGCAGATCCGCTGCAACTGCTGCTAGCAGGGATGTGAACACTCATAATTATTTGTCAAAGTCTGGAAAGTGTATTATCCCTTCTTCTAGTGGTAATTAGTTACCATAGCATCTAATACGTAAATGTGCCCAGAGCACACCATTAACAGTTAAGCGGAGGATTCAATTTAACACATGATTATATCTTTCATAAGTCATTACATTAGGAAAGCCAATGTCACTCATGCTGGGACAATCTAGGCTCCGAGCCGGGGTAAGGGGCCGGGGAAGGGAGCCAGGCTGGGCGGCGGGGGCAGAGGGAGCTCCGGATGAGGCTGAGGAAGATCCCGGTTCGGTGGGGCGATTGGGAACGGGGAAGAAGCTCTTTTGAAAGGGTACATGTTCATTTCTGGCTAAGTCAAGCTTTAAGGCGGGCGGGGGAGCCTCTCTCCTCCCCCCAGCCCGGCACACATCACGCTTGCCTTGGCAGGACCCGCTCAGGGACTGGCCCAGTGGCTTCGCGCCGCTTCCCAGGGAGGATGCCCGGCGCAGCGCCACCGGAGAGCGGGGCCGGCAGTGGCAGCACCTCTGCCTGGCACGGACCCCTCGCCCCCTCCGAAGCAGTCGAAGAGGGAGCAAGAGAGCCCAAAGTCGGGCGGCAGCGGTAGCCAGGAATGACAAAGATTTTCATTCCGCTGTCCCGTCGCTCCGAGGCAGAGGCAGGCAGGAAGCGGACAGCTCCATGTGCCACAGACATCGCTTCCCAGAGCCCCGGGGAGCGCTCCAGGCCCGGCCCGCACACTTCGGACCCTGTCCCCGGCCACGGGAGCCGGGAGGCAGGGCTGGGCCTCCCCCAGCCCCTCGCCTCCTCCCCACCTTGGGTCCTGGCCGCTCCAGGAGTTTGCTGGGACCCGGCCTGTTGTCCCCCACCCCACGGCCGGGCAAAGCCGAGCAGCGCCCGCGCCTTCCAAGGGAACCTCTCCGGGAGGGAAGCCCGCTCGGTAGCCAGAGACATTAGGCGGTAAATATTGCAGCAAATGTGTCCTGCGATGTTATATGCACGAACACACACTCACACAGACACACACACAGGCACGCACCACGCCAAGCTGGTGGCGGTGGTTAATTCCTAATCAGAATGATGGACAGCAGAGACAGAACAATACAAACTAATGGCTGTGTTGCTGATCACTTTACCCCTTGATTAAAGACACCCAATTATGGCGCAGAACAGTGTCGTAATTATGTTCCTTAATCACATCCAGGAGGTTTAATTGCCTTAACGATGTGTTTCATTAAATGAATTTAGGTATTATAGTCGACAGTTTTCATACACAGTTGTTTTCAAATTAACATAATATTAGACATCGTCATGGAAATTGTTTTAATAATCATAATTAGACGCACCCAGCCTTTGTCTAGTAAATGCTGAGAGACGCTTCTCCTTGCGCCTGGGGGCTGATCTGCCCACCCTCTCTGGGCTGCCTTCCCACAGCTCCGTGGCACTTTACAGTTATGTTTCCTGAAAAGTTACAGGTTCTGATTAATCTTTTTTGATGGGAAGTGGAGCAGAAAATATTTATACCCTTCCCCCGCCTGCGGTGCTGCCGTTGGGAGAGGCGGCTCCGCGGACACCCGGCGCCGGCCCGAGGGGAGGGGGAGCCGCAGCGCCGGGACCCCGGCCCGGGCTCAGCGCCGAGCAGGCGGCCTGGGGGGCTCCCAGCCCGCTCCCGCTGCCCGGGGCTCTGGGGCAGGGCGGAGGGGCCGCCAGGGGAGGGGCGGCTGCAAAACTCGCGGGTCGGGAGGAGGCGGGGGGGCGGTGCTGCAGCGCATCCCGCGGAGCGGGCGTGGGGCCGCGGGACGGGCGGGCAGGGCCGGGCCGGGCAGGGCAGGGCAGAGCCAAGCGCGGCCCCACGGCCGCCGCGCAGCGCCGGGGGCCGCCTGCCACGGGAGCGGGAGGAACGCAGCCACGGAGGAAAAACTTCTCTCTTCCCTGCCCGGGACACCCGGAGCCGGGAGTGGAGTGATGGGGAGGGTTCTGGGGCGCGCTCAGAGCAAGGCAAAGGAAAGAAAACGACCCACCCCCACCATCCAGCTCCTTTAATCTGGATGGATATGCTTAACAAAGCACAGCGTAATACAAGCGTTTGTTCAAAATATTTTAATAAAGATTCTTTCCGACATAGATACACATACAAACGATCGTACATTGCTGTCATAATCTGATTGACCTATTTAATATATATCACTCTTTACACATCCGTGACCTGCCAACAGATCCATCATGGCTCCTATTTTGCCATCCAACCTGACAGTCCGAATTTGTATTATCTGCAAGTAGTGGAAAAAAGCAGGACTCGTTTTTGAAAAGAAAAAAAAAAAAAAAGAAAATGAAAAAAAAAAAAATCTTGATTTACAAATGGCAGAGAGACAGCCACCCAGCCATGCAAACTCAAACTGAAGGCTCACTTTGGGTAAATAGCTACTTCTTGCTTTTCATCTCTCATTTTTCTTAAAAAAAAATTAATTAAAAAAAATCAAAACCCGCCCCCCACATCCCCTGAAAAAGGAAGAGAAGAATTCCACGCGTTCTGTAAATTAGCCTAAAGTATTTAAAGTATTTAAACTTAAATAATTATCCACAGTCAGAATAATTTACATACACATTAAAAGCGGTTTAAATTATACCTTCGAAAACACAGCGCCTGGGAAAACATTGGCTTGGCAAGTGTTCTTGTAGCAGCTATTGCTCTGATGCCTTGTAAAAGTAAATAGTTATTACCTGTTATAATGCAAAGAATACCCTTTCAAAAATCAGTTGGTTGAGCAATTAAGAATACACTTTTCCTGTAATTTTTGGACTGAAGCAATTTATTAAAGCTCAATTTAAATACAGGGATGATGCAACTTAAAATCTAGATGACCTTTCATAAACCTAAGCAGCTCGGATACATCAACATTTCTGGTTATATGTTGTTGGCAAATAAATGTTTTAAACACTTGGCACACAGTTTAAGTTAATCCATAAACAGAATTTTAGAAGCATTTAAAGTAACTGCACATAAGACCCATGACCTTAACACATATTGTTGGCGTGGAAGGGTCATTTTAAAGAATAACAAATAAATAGCATGTCTTGTTTATACATCATTGCAAAGTGGAAAGAAACAAGGTGCACATAAATACTTCTTTTAAAAATGCGATACTTTCAGCGACACGGAGTAGGGGTTTTGATCGGTTATTTTTTGTCTTTTTTTTAACTCTCTCGATTTTTTAAATCACTCTCACCAAACTTTGCGCATTTTCACAGATCAAAGTTTAGAGACGATAAAAAATACAAAGTCTTCCTTAGCAATGGTCCAGTCTCTTTGTTTCTGCGAGTCACTTAAATAATAAGTTTACATTTCAAGTTTGTTTGTTTCCTGGCTCAGAATAATAATAATAATAATACTGCTAATAATTAATTTAAAAAAAAAAATCTATGTTCAAGTGCCCTCTCTGATTTGTCCCCGGCGACAGCCCCGGCTCCCAGCCCGGCCTGCTATTTCCCGGCCTCTCCTTTGTCCGGACTCTCAGCGAGCCCCCCGGGCCGGGCCTTCCCCCCTGCCCCGGCGCCCCCGGCCCGCGCCCCCTCCCCGCCGCTCGCCGCTCCCGCCGCGGTCCCGGCTCGGCGGCACCGAGGGCAAGAGCGAGGCGAGTCCGGGCGGAGGGCGGCGGGGCCGGGCAGCGCTCAGTCCCTGCGCCGCCTCCGCGCCCCCCGGCCCGGGACCGCTCCGCCGGCTGTCGCCGCTCCCCGGGGCCGCGGCGGCGGCGGGGGGCGGCCACGGCGGCGGCGCTTAAGGCTTCTCCGTGCACTGTTTGCAGAGGCTGGAGGAGACGCTGTTGAAGATGGCACATTTCTCCGGGCAGGAGGTGGCGGGGGGCAGCCCGGCGCTGAAGGGGTAGCCGGCCGCCTGCTCGTAGGCGCCGAGGGCGGGGTGCAGCGCCGCCGCCGCCGCCGCCGCCGCCGCGGCGGAGCTGGGCAGGGAGGCGGCCGAGATGGCCTGGCCCTGGTTGAGATAAGCCACCAAGCGCCGCATCTCCTCCAGGGCCTGCGCCTGCATCAGGATGTAGTTCTTGGCCAGGAGGAGCGTGGCGATCTTGGAGAGCTTCCGCACCGAGGGGCTGTGCGCGTAGGGGATGACCGCCCGCAGCTCGTCCAGCGCGTCGTTCAGGTCGTGCATCCGCCGCCGCTCCCGCGCGTTGATGTTGAGCCGCAGCGCCTTCTGCTCCTTGGACTTCTTGCTGCCGCCGTGCCCGTGGCTGTTGGAGCAGCTGCCCTCGGCCGCCTTCAGCCCCCCGCCCCCCCCGCCGCCGCCGCCCGCCGCCGGCGAGGCCACGCGCGGGTCCCCCCCGGCGCCGCGCAGCACCAGCTCGCAGCGGCCGTCGCTGTCGTCGTCGGGGCTCTGCTCGCCGCCGCTGCTCTCGGCCACCGAGCTGCGGCTGGCGCTCTCGCCGTACTTGACGCAGACGGAGCCCGGCGGCAGCGCCAGCGGGTCGCCGCCGACTCCGGGCTGCAGCAGCGCCTCGGGCTCCGACGCCTCGTAGCAGGCGAGCGGCGAGGGCTGGCGGTCGCGGGGGTGGGAAAGGTCGAGCCCCGGGGGCGAGCGGAAGGCGGACTCCATGCGCTTGGCCGAGGCGGCGAGGCTCTTGTGGAAGAGGTCCTCTTCTGCGGGCAGCCCCAGCGCCCGCTCCATCGGCGCCCCGCTCGCCTCCGCCTCCTCCGCCCCCCTCAGCTCCCGGCCCGCTCCTCCAAGGCTCCGCGCCGCGGCGGGCGGCTCCCCGGCGTCCCGCTGGCAGAAATCGTTTCCCGGCTCCCGCCGGAGCTGCGCCGTGCCCGGCGCCGCGGCTGCCCCTTCTCTGGCTCCGGCGGCGGCTCGGACTGCGGCTCCGGCTGCGGCTCCGGCTGTGGCTCCGGCTGCGGCTGTGGCTCCGGCTCGGGCGGCGGCTCCGGCTCGGGCTGCGGCTCCGGCAGCGGCTGAGGCTCGGGCTGTGGCTGTGGCTGTGGCTCCGGCTGCGGCTCCGGCTCGCCCTCAGCAGGCGCCGCGCTGGGGCATTGTGCGCTGCCAGTGGAGCCGCTTCCACCGTTTATCTTGCTTGGATTCACCTTCAAGAGATTTCCGGACCCATCAACCAGCAGCCGCCGCAGACGGGGGAGTCTTTTACATCATTATCTCTGAGAGTAGGTTATTATGAAGAAGACTCGCCTGTTGGGACAGAGCTTTCTACCCAATCAGGTTAACGTTTTAATTAATAGGATTAAAACGGTAACAAACAATCCCAGGCGCTATCTGGCCCTGAGTCTGAATAGTTTCTTTTCCCAGGTCTGAAGACAGGCAGCAGCTAGAGCTTTATAAGAGGCGCCTGCTCCATTATTCTCCCTGCCATCTGTATACACAGCTTAACGCATATGTTTGCAAGACGTTGTGTCCTGTTAGTAACCCAACAACTGCCTTTAGCTTGACATGTGTGGCGACTTTCACTCATCAATGAGCACACTAAAAGCCCTACTTAGATCGAAGGATGTTCTTTGCCTCCTTCAGCAAATTACAGCCCTGCACTGCAGAAAAGCCCACTTCAACACCTCTCCTTCCGAGTGCTGCCAGCAGACTTCTGCTAACTTAGCCGTGGAGTCGGGAGTGACACCCTCTCCCCCCAGCCTACCCACCCCCCTGCATTTACATTAACTTATATCTCCCTCCCACCCCCACCCGTCTTGCCGAAAAGCATCGCCTGGGAAAGAAAAGCATAAAATTGAAACCCCCCGGAGCAGCCCCAGCCGTCGTGCCCACTCCTGCCCACTGCCAAAGTCCACCTTGCTTCCTTGGGAGGCGGGTGGTCCCCAGTCCTCCCTCTCCCCACCCCCCCCTCCAACAAACGGAGACCAAACTACGGGGAGGTTCCCCTCCTCCTTCCCTTATCCCTTTTCAAGTAGCAGATTGCTGCTAGCGAGTGATTATCCCCCGTGTCCCTATAAAAAACATGAAGCCCCATCAGTTACCTTGAAAATGAACGGATCTGGGGAAGAGAGAGGGCGGGAAGAGAAAGGGCAAAAACCCACCAAACTTTTTAAAATTCATTTTTTGCTGCGACTGACCAACTCTTGGCGGGTCCGTGCCCTCCTGCCTCCCTCCGGAGAGCCCGGCTCGACCGGAGCCCCTCCGCTCTTGTCCCCAACCCCGGGATGCCGCCGCCGGTGTCGGGGCGAGGCGGCCTCGGTCACCCGGGTACTCCGAGCCCTGCTCCTCCTCGGAGCCGGGAACACTCTCCTCTGCACTCTTCCAAAAGCTGAAGTGGAAGCCCGAGAGTCGGTCAGGATTTTGTCCCACTACTCCTGTGATGCTTGAGGCGAGCAGCTCGCTCTCGCCTTTCTGTTAGCACTCAGAGTATTTAGTGGCAGGTTTTCATTCTTATGACATCCGTAAAAAAACAATATTTCCCAACACTTCCAAATCATTCTTATGTGGCAGGATTACTGAAGGCTATGAAAATTTTTTGGTTTCTCTGGTTTCATTAAAAACCTTTTAATTGTGTCTTTCGGAGTTGGCCCCAGGTGTTGGACTCTTTTCATTACATTTTGCTCTAATGTGATGAAATTCTAATTCTCTCCTTACCATATGGTTAAATTTCCCCACTGAGAATTAGTTGAAAAAGGAGAAATAATCTATTAATCTCTGTAATAGATTCACAAATGAGGTTTGCCACAGAACCCGTTTTTGAATGGTAATATCAGAACAGTTGGGTGCCTTGTTTCAGGAAAGAAAGGACCAGGCGACAACAGAAAACGTTTGAATTTTCACCTGGAAAGAATGAAAAGAAGCCAAGCTGCAGATTTCAGAGTAATTGACTGAGATTTCATCTAGCGAGGACATGACTACAATACAGACCTTCCTCACCTCGTGTCTCCGGATCAGAGGCGAACACACAAGCCGAGCCCTCCGAAGAGGGAGGGTCTCACCCCCGCCCCCCGGCCCCATTTGGCTGCTGCGCTTGTCCCTGGTCGCCGTCCAAGCGCACAGTCACCGAGCGCCTCGCTCCCCTCCCCCGTTCCGAGGGATGGATGTCACCGTTAACCTCTATCATTATTAATCCAAAGGCATTTTGGGTTTATTGTTTTTCAATTAGCAACTTCATTTTCCCCGGGATCGTAAACAAAGGACTTTATGTTCGCAACAGGGATTTGGGTTTTTTTATTATTATTATTTAATCTGTTTAATATCCAACTTGTAAAACTCGTGTGGTCACTTAAGGATGACGGATACTGTTATTACAATTTGATGGTTAGTGGGAACATTTCATTCCCCTCATCTTATTTCAGTGAAGACAGAGGGCTCCGGCTTATCTCTCCCGCTGATCTGTGGGTTCACTAGCACTGTCTGGTTTTTTCTGCAACTTTGGGGACGACGTACAGTGCCTCTCGGCAGGCGGCGGGTCCCGTAGCCCCGGGGCTGCCCCGATGGGCGAGGGGCGCTTGCCAGGCCGCGCCGTCGGGGCGGGGGAACGGGGGCACGTCGGCGACCTCCGCGACAGCCTCCTCTCCCCACCGGCTGCGTTCGCTTAGATTTGCCCTCTGCGTCTGAAATCTCCCTCTCCGTCTAAGCTTTTTCTGCTCTTCCCTGTCCACCGGTCAGTGTGCACGATCTGCCCCTAGATCTGCTCGTATTCCTTTTACCTGCTTCATCCCGCCTTTTCAACCACCTCTCTTTTCCTTTCATTTCTCTTCATTCTTTCCTTTCCTTCCCTTCCCTACTGGGTCTGTCCCCTGTTCTTGGGACACGAATAAATCCCTTCATCTTGCCGATGTGCTCCTCTGTGACTTGCCGTGCTCTAAAGATGCCAACTTTCTTACAAACTTTACCTTGTGGGAGGTGTGGGAGGGAGTTGGGAGAGCAAAGTGGAGGGGACGAAAAGAGAGCCCTCTCTCTTTCCCTGGACCCTCCTGTTGTGATCTGCCTCTCCCCACCTCACGAAGAAGTGGCTGTTTAATAGTCTAAGGGAACTTTAGTTTGGAAGCAAGCAGAAGAATTTATAGAAGCTTTAAATGCGGCGCTTATAAAAATACCGAGGAATGGTCTTTGAGGTTTATGCACTCGTAAACTTTTGCTGATTGCTTCTGGGAAGTTGTCAGGCATTTAACACTGCGTTTATCTTACAGCGCAATGAAAACACATCTGCCCAGCGTCTCGTTACCTGGTTTAATTGTACCGCAGCCCTCTGCCGCCAGCTCCTCCACACTTGGGCCATTATTTCGGGGAATGAGCAGCCCGGAGCCGAGCTGCGGGAGGGCTGCGCCCGCCGCCCCGGAGCATCCCCGGGCTCCGCTGGGAGCGGCCGGGCACGGGCGGAGCGGGAGGCAGGGGCAGGGAGCAAGGACGCTGCAAGGTCCCAGGGTACAGATGGGAGCGGACAGCACAGGGATTGCTGATTTTCTGTGGCGTCTTTAGCAATTTCTGCTCGAGAGTTACTCTGTTCCGCTCCCCACCTGTGAGAGACGTAAAATCCCCTTTTCCCTCTTCCCAGGGTAGGGTTTGAAGAAAAGTTTCCGTGATGAAAGACACTGCAAATTTTTCCATCAGACGCCCAAGAGCTGAATGCAGACAGGTTGGTCTCTCCCTGCCTGCTCTGAGCAGAGGGACGGCGTGTGCCTGCTGCAGCCGGACGGCCCCGCAGCAAGAGGAGGGCTGGGGATCTTCCGCAACTTTCCGGTCCTTCTTCCAGCGGCTCGGCCCGGAGTCTCTTCTTCCCTTCCTGTGACACGCCGAGCCTGGGGGAGACCAGAGCCGAGCGCCGAGTGTAGCAGGGGCAGCCCCCAAGCAGGGTTCGCCCGGCTTTTCCAGCACTGACTCCAGCTGTGGAGAGCGCTTTCGTTCGCCACAACTGCAGCTGTGCTGTCTTTGCCAATAAAACTTTATTTAAGTTCAAGGTGTGGAAAAAAACCCAGTAAAAAGAAATAAAATTACCCTCCCCGCTGCATGCTCTCGTGGTGCACACACCCTCAGAGGGGGCTGCCCGCCCAGGGGCAGCGCCAGGAGGCCGGTGCGCTCCCCTGGGAGCTGCTCCAGCCGCAGGCAGGCCCGGGGGGCTCCGGGTGCCTGTGGGGATGAGAAGGGGGCGATGCTCTCAGCCCCGGGATACCGGGAGCAGCTCCCGGTGCCGGGGGGAGCGGGCAGGGCGGGGGGACGCGAGTGTACAGCCGGGCTTGGGGGCTTTGGTGGGACGAGGGGCTGCGAAACGGAGGTAAGCACCCCCTCCGTTCCTGGGAGTGGTACAAAAGCGGCCCTGGTGAACCCGGCGCACAGCGCGGCGAGGTTGAGGCTTCTCGAGGTGAGGAACAGCCCCTGACAGCCCGGGCCGGGCCTCGGGGGGGCCGCTGGTAATGTAAGGGCAATTCTGGAGGGCTGCAGAGAGGTCAGGGCACCCGAGGATTCCCGGGAGACACGCCTGCTGTCTGTGGGGTCCCTGGGGCTCCGCGGGGATCCCCCGGCCTCGGCCCCGGCCCGAGCGCCGAGCTGCCGATCCAAAATCCACAGCACCATCTCCTGGGCCTCGGCAGAAGTGCAGGGCCCTCCTCCGAGACCGCGGGGCTGGCGGCAGTGCTGGAGGGAACGCATGAAGCCGTAGAAACTACGTGAAAATGTAAAAGGAAATTGCATTGAAACGCAAAAGACCCTTCAGCGTTTTTCAGCATGGAGAGATAACTAATTATTCCTTTGGTGTCCCTTCTGAAAGTGAAATCTGTGGGCTGTCTGTGTTTGGACAGGATGGACAGGAGTCAGGAGGCTCTCAGGAGGTGTTTTCTGTTCAATTCTATAGACATGCTAGAAAATCCATGTACTTGAAACCGATTAGGATGGAAAAGTCTGATGGTATCCCCGTTTCAGGAACAACACAGGGCTTATAGGCTG